TGTTATTGGTGCTTAATTAAAGAAGATACATGACAAGGTCAGGCACAAATGGCCAGCACCTGGAAAATTACATCATTTTGTGTGTAATGAATAGTTTGCTCCGTTATGTTGGCATCATAAAGGCCTATAGGTCTTGTTCATGCCTAATGTCTGGTTATTCATTTGTTCCTGTTGTGTGAGGTCCAGTAGGGGTTTACTATTGTAGAAATTCTAACTATTGTTTACCCACAATAGTTGTGGTCCCAAGCATTATTGCTGTCTGTAGTCCAAGGTGGCTACAGGCTCTACATCCACCTCAGTTTAGTGGGTATTTATAATAAGTTATAATGTTGGGTACAGGAAATGGTCCAGATTTGGTGGAAGTCAGAAGGAAAGCGGCGGCGATGTTGACGCGGATGTCGGGCGGATTCAGAATCAGGAGGGGTTCTTCCCGATTCGCTGCAGGGGAGGCAGCGGAGATGGTGACGGCTCCCTGGAGGACCTCCGCCGCTTCCTCCCATCATCGGCTCTTCCGCTTCGTTTTCCCTGCATTTGGAGGCGGAGTCGGGGGCACTTCAGGCAGATCGGACAGCAGGCCGTTTGGCCGTCCTCTGTCCAAGGCTACGCGCCGCTCATTGACTCCGCTGCCTCTCTTCTAAGCTGCCATAGGTTCGTGCGCACCTCCTCGGCTAGGTGCGCGTCTCCTGTCATTCTGTCATAAACTGGCGAGCTCTGACTGGGGAAGCAGGAGAAGGAGATGAAGGCTTGGGTAAAAAGGTATTTAATGGGGAGATGGAGAGGCATACAAGGCAGGCACAAGGCTTCAGATGTTACAGCACTACAATGACAGAACTAGGGAAACATACTCTGGCGTGGACTTAAATACACCGAACCAATGAAAACAACTCAAAACAGCTGGTACACACGGGGAATCCACACGAGGTTAACGAGGGGGGCGTGGCACACAGGAGGATCGGACGAGCAGGGTGTGACAGTATTCATTACGTTTTGGGGACATTTGGTCCCCACAAGGTAAGGTATAACTGGACCACACATACACTCATACAATGACAATCTAGAGTCTATTTATAATTCTGACTGAAAGCCTTAAAAATGTCTATCAACACTTTCTTGAATGTTGACATAGACTCCGTGGCACTTTTAGATTCATACATTTCTGTCAGGGGTCTGTGTCATGCCATCTGTTGTTATATTCACACTAGAGATATCCTATTAAGATTGCACTCGCTTGTCAGTAACCTCATTGATTTATATGCCTGGCCTCAGCACAGCTTGGTCCTACACTATTTCTCTACTTCTAATGATTCCACTC